CAGTTCACACTGACAGTTTGCCATGTTTCTATTCAGGCCCCAAAAGTTGCCCAGCTAGAGTTTCTCCAATAGAATGTGGAATCTGGAAATTATGTAGCATTCTCTTTTGTTGGACTGGTAAATTATTAATAACGAATCCAAGGACATTATACAACTTCTCAGACAAACAAAAAAAACAAAATAAAACCAAAACTAAAACCAGTGATCCTTCTGAATTGTAAGTAAGGAATTAGGGTCTTTTAGGACAGCATGCAGCAGGCATTGAGAAGGGGTAGAATATCTTTATTTCCACAGGGTTCTACATCTTTTTCATCTTTGTGAGGAGGACAGAAGGGCAGAGGATAATAAGCTGGTTGACCAGAGATATATAGACCGTTCCAATTATCCCTCTTTATGATGCATGATTTGAATTTCCTAACTTTCTCCTGTTAATACTAGTCTCACTTTCTCCCTGATCTATTCGCCTGTCGCTGAGACCCATGTACAGAAGCCTCCCCATGGGCGCCCACAATTTGGCTGGGGCAGGGGCTAATACAGACCCCTACCACTACGAAACAAAGCAACTCTTCCTCCCATCCAAGAAAGCATAATAGCAGTCAAAAAGTCTAAAAATACAGAATGGCTCATGACCTTAATTTTAAAAGTCATTCATTCAACATTGAATTGCCTATCAATGCAGTAATGCATACCATTTGACCCAACTCACAAACGTCAGCACAGGCCAGTTAAGAACTGCTTGTTTTAAAAGCAAAAACTAAGATGGGACATATGCTAAGCATTCCCAGACAGACTGCACTCTATGTCTTGGTATTTGTCAGCTAAAAAAAAGCATGCGTGACAGGCGACTGACTCCCCAGCTCATAGAATTCACCTTTGAGAGTGTCCGTTACAAGGACTTAGAGATCATCAGAGACAGTTGAATTCTTAAATGGGACAGTAGAAAATAAAAACCAGTTTTCCAAAGCAGAGCAGTAAGTAGAACCCACAACATCCTGCCTCATCTAACACTGATAGACAAGGAGAGCCCCCACTTGGACTACGGTGGATGACCCCCAAGTCAACCCTGCCCAGCAGCCGTAAACCAACGAAGTAAACGCTCCATGCTATCCGTGTCTTTGCTCCATGAATGAAGCCAGAAAAATAAAGAAACTAACACCACACTTTCCCTGTTACCGCCCTGATTTAAATAACTTTTCCTTTTTCCATGCATGAAAATGCAAATTCAAACATGGGAAAGAAAAGCAGACTCGGAAAGAGCAGGACAAAGAAGTTAAGCATTTGAATGCAATGAGTTTTGGGGGAAATGCTGGATTAAAGTCAGACTAGAACAACAAATCAGAACAGAAAAAGCATGGTTCATTAATCGCCAGGTCAACCGGCAGGACTGATCTAACTATACAAGGGTCTCAAGAACTAATCTCTAGAATAGCCGTAGCTTCGTCACCACCTTTCCGTCATCTTCCGTGAATCATGTGAGTCCTAATTTTTCATCCCCTGAGCGTGTCACGACCTGCAAAACCAAGCACCGACCTCAATTAAGATGCCTCTAATAAAATGACTAAGACAACTGCAGCAATCAGACACAGTGCACAGCAGACGTAGGCAACCCAGAAACCTCCTACAGTGCCTCAGCTAACATTGCAGAGAGTGCCAACTGAAGAGAGAGGGAGAGGGTGGCTATGCTCCAATGGTGAGAGAGACACCCACTCTGGAGATATACAACAGGGGATGTACGCCTGAGGGCGGGAGGTAGACAAACCTCCTCCTACTTCTGCTCCTTGAGCTTGCAGCAACGCCATTCGGATGGAAACACACCAATACAACTGAGCTTGAACATTTTCTGCCTCCTATGGGCAGTCTGTGGCAGGCCATTAGCACATTCATACCTAAATTTTTCACAAATCCATGAGCGCGAAACATAATATATATCTAAAAGTCATTGTGACAATGTGAGGTAAAGATGTATGCAAAATGCTATGAGCATGGAGACCCACATGTTGAGCACTAAATGTCAATTTTCCTTCCTTCCAACAATTTGCTAGCTATTTTCCTTTTGAAAAAATAACTGGAACCTCATGGAGTCCACATTGAAAAGTCTTTTAATAACATCTGGGAGAAATATGGAGCGAGGTCGGACATGCTATTTCCAAAGTCAAATACTGTACCAGTAGATGACAAGTTCACATGTCAAAGAAATAGAATATAAGGAAAGCGTTATTTTATATGCTGCTACTGGCTACAATTTAAAAGCCTATCTTTCATTTGAGGTTATTCTTCCTTCTTTTGGATACCCCTTTTTTTTAGGAGATTGTAAACATGGTAGAGGGTTCTTAAAGCATCCTCTACTGAGGCAAATAAAATTTCATCTATGTGCCTCCACAGAATATTTAAAAGTTACAAGAGTCTGGGAAATATCAGAAGGCTGAGCCCAATTTTCTAACTGATCAGC